ATAATGTGGGCAAAGAACTTGAAAAAACATTTCGCCAAAGAGGACATTCAAATGGCCACCAAAAAGATGAAAGAGATGCTTAGCATCATTAACCATCAGTGATGTTCAACTCAATACCACAATAACATACAATTTCCGTTCCACTAGGAAGGTTAATATAAAGAAGCCAAAACAAAACAACATGTTGGAAAAGATGTGGGGAAATTGGCACCCTTATCCATTGCCGCTGGGAATGCAAAATGGCACAACCACTGTGGAAAAGTGTGGGCGATTCCTCATAAAACTAAAACTGCCATATGACTAGCCTTTCTACTCTTAGGGATAGAGCCCCAAAGACTTGAGAGCAGAGACTCAAAGACTTGTACTACAGCACTATTCACAGTAACCAAAAGGTGAAAACCCAAATGCCCATCAACAGATGAATGGATAAACAAAATGTAGTAGACACATACAATGGAACACACTCAGCCAATAGAAGAAATTACTGTATGGTGACTCCATAGGATAAGCATTGGACTGTGGACCACATAGTCAGTGGTTTGAGTCTACCAGCCATTCTGTGGGAGAACAATAAAGCTTTTTTTTTAAAAAAAACTCAGAAACAACTATTCAACGATGCTATGAGTTGGAACCAACTCGGTGGCACTTATAAAGTATGGAAGATAAGCACTGGACTGCTAACACAGGTTGAGAGTTCAAACCCACCAGTCACTCTTTGGAAACCCTGTACAGGGTCTCTTGGAACTGACTCAATGGCGGTTAACAACAACAACAGTATGGATGTAGCTTGAAGACGTTACACTGAGAGAAGTAAGTCAATTACAAAAAAAATATATATATATATATATATATATATATTGGATGACCTCATTTATATAAAATAAAATAAGAAAAAGAGATCAAAATGTATAGAGACCAAAGTTTAATAGTAGCTACAGGGGAGGGTTATTGTTGTTTAGTGCCACTGAGCTGGTTCCGACTTACAGCAACCCTGTATAGGGTTTCCAAGGAGTGCCTGGTAAGTTTGAACCACTGACCTTGCAGTTCAAACCAATCTTGAAGTCCAGTGCATTACCCTGCAGCAGCAGCAGCACACCAGGACTCCACAGGGGAGGGAGGGCGGAGGAAAAGGGGGTTTAACAGTGGTGGAGAAATTGCAGTGATTAAGGGTATGGTGGTGCAATCGATCAAGGCAACTGCTGTCAATAAGTTGAATGTCTCTATAAAGCAGAATTGGCAAAAGTTGTGAAATAGATATATTTAAAACAATGGCAAAAAAAACCCACAACAACCCAAAAAAGCGTAGATGCTAAGGCTGCTTATGTATAACCACCAAACACCTCGTGAGATTTAGTTCCTTGGTTTGGAAGTTTAAAGTCACGATTTCATAGGAGACCCTGATTAATTAGCCTAATAATGTGCATAATGCTTCTATTCTACCTCCTAGTTCACTGCACGGTGCTAGGGTCTTAAAAGTTTACAAGCAGCCATCCAAGGCACAACAATGGTCTCTTACCCGGCACAGCAGAGGGAGAAGGAGAGTCAGGACTAGGAGGAGGATATGACATGTGTGCTAATTGCCTCCATGCACAACTGACTGCCTCCTTTGTTAGGAGACCAGAGGACTGGATCGTGCCAGGCTACCAATACTGATCCAAGATTCCATAGAAGAATCCTCATTAAAAGGGGAGAAAGTGTAGGACAGAACTTCAAATTCTCATGGAATCCAGACTTTCTGGACCCATGGAAGCTGCGTGAATCCCTAAAACTACTGCCCTGAGATAAGTCCCCAGAAATCTTTTAAATACCAAAATAATAACTTTAACTTCTTGTTGTTGTTTTTGGTTAAGTGCCATCAAGCTGGTTCCCAGCCATAGTGACCGTGTATAAGGTTTCCAAGGAGTGGCTGGTGAGCTTGAACCACCAACCGTGTACTTCAAACTGACTTTGTAGTCTAGCGCATTAGCCCACAGCGCCACACATTCTGGATATGGGATCAAATTAACTTTACAGATAAAACTTCGGGGGCAGTGAGTTTTTGTTTATGAGGAACAACTCAGAAAAGGAAGCTGAGAATGGTGATTCAACTCAAAGACTGTGATCAGTGTCACTAAATGGTACAGGTACAAACTGCTGAATGGTATTATTATGTACAGTCTCAACAACAACAACTACAAAAGCCCTAAAACTACTCCAAAGGTAGCAATAACTGAATTTGCTTTATGACATTCTGATATACAAAAGCATTTATAAGTCATTCACTTTAAAAAAAAAAAGTCATTCTAAATAAATGTATTAATAAGACATAAATCCAAACAATATCACTGTTGTAGACATTATGTCAAGAATTGTCAAGAGTAACAAAGATGAATATAAAGTGAAATAATCAAGTCTCCCTTTCCCCGCAACCCCAATCCTTTGCCATAGAGACAATTGTGACTCCTGTGAATCCTAGCAAACACAGGAGAACTGTCCCATAGGGTCACCAAGGCTGTAAAGCTTTATAGAGGCACACTGCCACCCATTTCTCCCTCAGAGCGGCTGGTGAGTTCCAATAGCTAACCTTCGGGTAACAACCTAGTGCTTTGACCATGGTGCCCCTAAGGCTCTTTCCCTTTCCCCACCCTGTGCCCCTGCTCAAATAAATCTCAAAACAGCCCTCTCTTGACCTAGCAGACCAGCTCACAGTTGCTGGAGAGCAAAATGGCCTTCCCAGGTGACCGCTCTGGGGCACCATACAACAGTATGCTTACCGACTTCAGTAGAGACAGATGGCAGCAACACTGACGGAGTCTCAGCAGCTGTGACAATATGTGGGCTGTGCTGGATCTCTGAGAGTTAGCCACCACAGGATGTCCAGGCCCGCTGGATCCAAATTCCAGTGCCACTTCAAGAGGGAAAACAAACCATGGGAAACAGCACAGGGTGTATTTTTTTAAATATGGGGAAGAAGTAAGAACTACATTAGACTGTGTCAGTGTTTGGTTTGTGTTTCAACCATATGGTGATAACTCATTTCTGTACCAGGTAAGATTTAAGCCAAATGAAGTTCTGGTTTTCTTTATATGCCTGCTGCTGTTAGGTGCTGTTAAGTTCATTTTTGAACCCTAGCAACCCCACATGGCAGAGTAGAACTGCCCAATAGGGTTTTCCGGACTGTAGTGTCTCAACAGAAACAAAGGCCAGGTCTCTCTCCTGTGGAGCTGGGGGGGGTGGGATCAAGCAGCCACTGGCCGAGAGCTTAACCATTATACCACCAGATGGCTCTTTAGAGATCTAGTTTCTAAATTTTATTTATTTTGTTGTTGAGAATATACACAGCAAAACAGACACCAATTCAACAGTTTCTCCACGTACCATTTAGTGACATGGCTCACACTCTGTGAGTTGTGCAACCATTCTCCCCACTCCTTTGTCGAGTTGTTCCTTACTCATTTAACATAAACTCACTGCTCCCGAAGGTTCCTACCTAATCTTTACAGTTGCTATTGTCAAATTGACCCCATATATAGGAGTCTTGATGTGGCACTGTGGGATAAAGCACTGGACCACAAGGTTGGTTTGAGCCTCAGGGTCGGCGGTTCAAACCCATCAGCTGTGTCTTGGAAACCCTATAGAGGGTCCCTATAAGTTGCACTGACTTCATGGCAGTTAACAACAACAATAACATAGTGTTCTTAAAAGAGCATGATGCTCAAGACAGACATTATTTACTAGTTAATCTATTGTTTAGATTTCAGACTTCAGGGGATATTTCTGGCTTAATGTTTAAAGATTATCTCAGGGCAATAGTTTCTGAGGTTCATCCAGCCTCCATGGCTCCAGAGAATCTAGAGTCCATGATACTGAAATTCTGCTCTGCATTTCCTGCCCTTAGACCAGGATTCTTCCATGGACTCTTTAGTCAAAATACACAGTGAGCACCAACAGGATGCTCGGGTCTCATGGAAAAGGAGGCAGTTGTTCATGGAGGCCATTAGCCCACAGTGCATATCCTCCTACTCCTGACTCTCCTCCTTCTGTTGCTTCAGCTAAGTAGAAAATATCACTTTGCCATGCGTTGCGTGGTAAGACCCCAGGCAATATGCAAGGAAGCATCAGGCAGAACAGAAGCACTAAGCACATTACCAGGCAAATGAGCTGGGGCATCCCATGAAAACAGGACTCTAAACCTCTAAACCAAAAATCCAAATCCCATGAGGTGTTTGGCAGTACATAAAACAGCTGCAGCAGTTACTCCATTTTATTGTTACTGATGTCGTAAATGTATCACTTCAACTTCTCACAGGTATACAACTCATCTGCTGAGTGATCCTACCCTCATCATGATTTCCCACCATGCTAGTTCCTTTTCGCCCCCTCCCTCCCACCCCTTTAATCACTGATAAACTTTGGCCGCTACACATTGCTTTTTTATGGAAGTGGGGTCCTAACTGTGTCTTAATAAAACAGATTTAGATAAAAATGAAAAAGTACTTTAGATCCAGATTTGGCGTCTAGAAAAGTAAGTATATTTTATTTTGGTTGGAATAAGTACAATTTCAATTTGACCTGGCCAAGATTAAATCTCTAATGCCAAGAATTCAAAATCTCACACTCTATTTTACTGAATCTGGGCCCCCATTTTCATTAGCAGTGTTCTACTGCTTACCTCTACTGAAGGGATTATCAGGGCTTCTTCCATATTGCTTATCCCCATTTTCATGTGTTTTTAGATAGGACTGCAGAGCCAACCTGCCTCAGACCAAAAAAGAAAATACACATAAGATTACATAGGTTTACCCGCATTACTAATTGACTATGCTTGAAATTCGACTTTGGCAAATTATAGATATGAGCTTGTTAAATGATGCCAGAATCACATCAATCATTTCTCCAACGCCATGAAGAAGAAACCATTATTCTGAAAACCAAAACATGCTTTTAAAAAGAAGGAAAAAGTAAAGTATCCACACTGGATGTGAGAGTACCAAGGGAAAAACGGACTGCCATTCAGTGAAAGACAAGAGCCCTACAGACAGACACTACAAAGAGCTGACAACATGAAGGATTACAGCGCAGGTGTTTTGTTTTAAGCTCCGGTGAGGTCCTGAATGACAGGAGAAAGAGATGTCATTTCCTAACACAGCCCCACAAGGACCAGGCAGATGTGCTGTACAGAGCTCATTCCCTAAGATTGCTGTGAGAGAGAAGCCAATGAGAGATGTTCATAGGTCTTCAAGGTTCAGAGTTGGGTTTGTGAGAGAGAAAAGAAGTTAAAGAAAAAAAGGGGCGAGGGGAGTTACAAAAGGAAAGCCAACATCCAATTTATCAATAATATTATAAATACAGTCAGAGGAAACTTGACCCTTAGAGCTCATGACCAGGTGTAAACAAAAGTCCATGCTAGAAGGTGCTTCTGCACTGCACGCACCTTGATCTTGCGAAAAAGACATTGTAAACAGTCTCCTCATCTTCAGAAAGCTTTAAACGGTGCAACTGACATTTACGCCGGGGCAGCATCACCTGGAAGAGTTAAGAAAAGAAAATGTGGCTGGCATGAAGTTACATAAATTAGCTGACTAGCATAGAGGAAATTCCCCAAATTTAACACTAGAAACGTAGTCAACCGAGGAGAGTAGCTCCTACCCTTCCCTAAAAACAGGACTGCTGTACTACACAGCACAGGACAGCACCCAAGGGCTTCTTTATCAAGAAAATAGCAGAGCAAGTGGCTATTCAACCCCAAACCAGGACATGATCACCCTCCGTCCCTGCCCTCCCCAGGGACAGGTATAAATGAGATTACCAAAGGTTTGCCGGTGGAGTCCAGCTGGTCCTTTGTTCTCCTCAGCAAAAGGCTCTTGGTTAAAATACTTAGTCGTTCTCCTCCTTTCTTTGAACCATTGTCAACCTGACTCTTCCACAGACTGAACTCATCAAATGGAGAACAACGGAGAAATCTTTTTTTCCCCCAAGGGAAAAGGGCAAAGAGTCGGGAAACAGAGGTATGGGAGAATGAAGCAAAGATTCAAAGTAAGACATAAGATGAAAAACAAGCCAGATTTTCGGTTACAGTTTCATCCAATCATCTTTAAAAATGACTTTCATAGCAAAGCTCTGTTTGGCAGATCAAAAGGATTCAAGTCAGTAACGAAAACCATACTACAAAAATGTGAGTTTTTTCATTAACAATGTCTACATCGTCGCAACAGGACATAAAACCGATAGCTAGAATTTATCCCTAAAGCTTCAAAGGGTAGCACAAAATCCCAAATCCTCCTGCGGACTGACTAGAATAAAAGGAGGAATTTTTAAAATCAGCATTGTTCTGTTTTCTTCAAATAAATTGTAACCCCGACCCCAGGCCATATGTTTTAAAGCAGAAATTGCCCTGAGCAGTCACTGAACTGAAGAAAGATGACTTCTTACTTAAATCAAACTGTTCTATGTTTTTTACATGTGTAAGGGCTGGATGTAATCAAAGTCCCATATCAGCCAGTCAATCAACAGATATTCCTCATCAATATTAATGCTTTTGTTCTTTAAAGGCTGATAGGCTTGACATCTGCTCAAGAAAATCTGGCACCGACTTGAAGGCACTTAACAACAACAATACAGTACTATCACGAGGCATGAAATAATTATGAAGGGTTACTGACAGGGCTCACACTTACAGACTCTTAGAGAGTTTACTCAAACCAACTCAATGGTACTTAGCAACAACAGTTTACTCACTTTAACAACGAGTACATGTCCAACAGATTGTTCTGAATGGGGGTCCCAGTGACAGCCCAACGGGCCTGGGCTTGGAGCTTACACACAGCTATGGAAGTCTGCACTCGGGGATTCTTAATATTGTGAGCTTCATCCAGTATGATTCGAGCCCAGACTATTTGAAGCAAAGGTACTAAGATGCCCTGAAGGAAAGACAAGGGAAATCCAACAATAGCATGGGAAAATGCACGTGTGCTCACAATGAGAAGGGGAGAAACAAACGTGTACACCGTGAGCTGCTCTTACCTTCAAATGTGAGGACTTGCATCAGGCACATTGAATAAGGGCTATATTTGAGAAACCAGGAGTAGAAACTCTCAACGGGTACCCATAAATAAGTCACTTGAGAGTCTAAGTAAATGAGCTAAGGTAACTTACAATAAAATGTTTTCTAGTTTAAATTCTCATTTATTCTTTCAATACTTGTTGAGCAATATCTGTAGGCCAGAATTACAGTGTTTAGCGTGCAAATTCACTCATTCAACAATTTGCTGAAAGTTACTAAATTCTACTGAACATTTACTAAAAGTCCACTTTGATATGTCATATGCTAAGCCAGACACGAAGGACAGTTTCTACTCTCAAGATGTTAATCTAGTGGGGAAGAAAAAAAAAAAATCAATATAAGGGTAGTTAGTACACAGTGTCTATGTGATGAATTCAGTGTGGATCACATAATCCATGACAGTAGTCAGGTTTGTTTGGTATTGGATCCCTAATGCCTGAAATAGCATCTTCTGTTATTGAGTCAATTTTCAACTTCTTGTGGCCCCATGTGACAAATGGAACAGCCCCATAGCATTTTTCTGTTGTAATCTTTACAGAAGCAGATCATGAGGTCTTTCTCCCATGGAGTAGCTGGGTGGGTCTGAACTTCCAAATTTAAGATTAATAGCGAAATGCTTAGCTACTAGACCACCTGGGCTCCTTGGCTCTTGGGAGATTTTAATAAATAAAGTGGCGGTGTGGTGCTGGAACGAAGCATTGGACTGTTAACTTCAAGGTCAGGAGCTCAAAACCACCAGCCACTCCTCAAGAGAAAGGCAAGGCTTTCTGCTCCTAAAAAGATTTACGCTTTGGAAACCCTATACAGGATCACTAAGAGTCAGAATCAATTCGATGGCAGTGAGATGACACACATAAGCACAAGACTCTATGAAATGAATTCAACCAAATGTGGGGAAGGTGGAAAGAAAATGCCCCAGAAAGAACTCTTAAAGTGGATACAAACAAATTAGCCTGGGAGAAGGAGCAGGGGCTCCTTCAGAGGAAGAACAAAGGGACGACAGTATGAGAGTCTGGGAGAGCTGCAATTCAATGCCATCAGGCTGATTCGGTATGAGCATGGATGGGGTGTCACAGAGCAGGAGGAGTACAGGCAGAGCTGAGGGACCATAGGTAAGGGAAAGATCATAAAAAGCCCAATGTTATCATGTAAAGGGATCTGGATTTTATCCCAAAAGTAATGAGGGATTTGAGGAACGTACAATGTTTATTTATTATCTACAAGTCAGAGTTGCTTGTAAGCAGGAGGCATGTTCTAGAGATCTCTACAAACATGCAAATCTCTGGCTATTCTAGTGTACTAGAAGTATAAACATATGCAAAAGATTCATTTGTGGGACAGCACTATCTTCAGGGGACAAGGGCATTATGATCATGATAATTACGCACTATTATGCCTCTATACTGTTAACTGACAAGATCTGGGAGCCACTCACAAATACTCAGGGTTTTCCTGTGGTTGTCATTTAGCATCTGGCCCATCTATGGTTTGACTATTTATATTCTGGGGGGCGTGCAAATGGTAGACAGAAGAGGCAGGGAAGAATGGATCAATACCCAAATATTAGTAATGAAAAACTAGCCTACACACTAAATAGAAAAAAATACCAGAATACACCCTAAATATTCTAAACTAAAAATCAAGTGAGGCTTTCCTATACTCATGTGATATTACCACAATTGCCATGTGGCTAACTTCAGTTTAAAAACAACTAAATATTGTGTCGAATCTCAGCCTTCATCCCTGAGACAGGGAAGCACTGTATTTCCACAGGTAGAACATTTAGGATATTCCTGGCCTCCTGGGAAGGTAGTTTTGCTACCTCCAACAGTCCCCAAACCTTACCTCCACATTGAGGTCTGCACCCGGGACCTCTTCCTCTGGCTTCTGTGTGGGAATCTCCTTGGCCAGAAGGCTGTAGGTAGTGATCACAATGTCATATGAGGAGAGGCTGCAGAAAGAAAACACTAAATGGTAAAAGGTCCTTCCATGGGCTCTGATAATGTCAAGTCACCTTTTTATAAAAATGTCTATGGTGGGAAGGCTGAATTCATTAACTTATGTCCTTTATCCACACATTCAATTTGGTGGCAAATTTTATCTACTTGGCTTCCTGATCTCTTACTTCTGATCACTGTTTGAGTCTGTTTATATAGAGCTAAAACAGCTTTTATTCCCAACCAATGTGTCAAAAAGGGAAATCTCTGGCTGAGGTTAATATTAAGCTTAATGATTTCAGATAAATGACACTAAAGTTCCAGGAAAGTTAAGAAACCCTCAAAACACTGTTACCCTTACTTTAATGATATTTTTTCCTCACGATTCTAGAATATTTTTGTGAAAACCCACATTTAAGTAGAAATTACTGTTATAAAAGAAGGCCTGGTATCATAGTGGGTTATAAGTTGAGCTGCTATCCACAAGGTCAGCAGTTGGAATCTACCAGCCACGCTGTGAGAGAAAGAGGAGGTTTTCTGCTCCCATGAAGATTTACGGTCTTGGAAACCCTATACAAGGTCACAATGAGTTGGAACCAGCTCGACGGCACACAACCAACCATGTGTTAAAAGTTTTCAGTTTACCTTGCCTATACTCCTTTACATTTAAAGATTAATGAAAGGTACAAATGTTTTCCCTATGAAACTTAATATTGTGTGCCTAAGAGAATTTCAATCAATACTTCTGACAAGACCGATATGGCTAATTCAGAGAGAAAGAAATGTCTGCATATTGCTTTTATATATAAAGATAAGTATTTGAGAACGATTCCAATCAGTCAACAAGTACACTGTGACTTCCAAACCAGGTACGATCAATGTACAAATCAAGTGAGGCCTATTTTGAATAACATGTTTGAACAAAGGCAGGCAACTCACAGTATTCTGTGCCAATGGTACATGGCCAGTCACTGCTGCCCTGATGTATCTCTCCTGCTGACATGACAATCAGTCACCAGAGTTGGTGTGTGTTATAAGACTAAAGGTTAACAGTTGGCAATTCTTTGTTGTTGCTGAGTGCCATCGAGTCAGTTCTGACTCATAGCAACCCTGTGTAGGGTTTTTGAGAGGCTGGTGGGTTTGCACTGCCGACCTTGTAGTTAACAGTCCGGTGCTTGTCCCACACCAGGGCTCAGCAATTCTTTAGTAGACAAAATATCCAGTACCGGAGGTTGGGGAGAGAGATTACCTAGGAGTACCAACAACTTTGCTATTGTCCATGATGAGCAGTTTTACCCTAACACATATGGGGCTGCTGCGAGGCCAATTAGCATCTGTATGTGTTTCACTTGGTTTTCAGGTCTCTGTTGTAGGGATTTGGCAGAGTGCGTCACGAGAACATCATCTTGTTTCTTCCCTGCCTCACCGTGAGTCAGGACTGACTTAACGGCAATGGGAAACAAATACCATACTAACGGTATTAAACAAGATCTTCTGTAAGACTGAGCCGATTCCATTCATAATAACAGAACAAACACAGGAAGTCCGATTCAGAAATCCAGCAACTACGATCTACTTAAGACAGATCACATTTTGCTAAGGGGAATTCTACCACCTGGCTGACAACCAAAGTATCTCAGGTGTCCTTGGTGGTGGTGGTTATGTGCTGTGGAGACCGTTCTGACTCATAGTGCCCCTGTATTGGGTTTCCGAGGCTATAAATCTTTAAGAAAGCAGAAAGCCTCATCTCCCACAGAGCAGCCGGTAGATTTGAACTGCTGACCTTGTGGTTAGCACTGCAGCTTGTAATCCACTATGCTACCACAGCAGCTTTTGTTGGAGATGACAAAGACACATTCAAAGAACATTTTCTCAAGATGTGGCTCGTATTGCAGAGTCAAAGCTGTTTTGTCTGGAGAATGAAAAGTTGCCTTTGGTCTTCACAAATAGCATTGTTGCTGTTAGCCCCCAGCTCATGGCGACCCTACCCATAAGGCTTTCAGTGGTTGATTTTTTAGAAGTAGATTGCTAGTCCTTTCTTGCTAGTCTAAGGCAGTCCAGAAGATCTGCTGAAACCTGATTAGCATCAGGCAACTTTCAATGCCATTGAGCTGATTCTCACTCATCACCACCCTATATAGGTTTCTGAGGCTGTAAATCTTTACGGGAACAGAAAACCTCATCTTTCTCCTGCTAATCTTGTAGCTAGCAGTCTAGTGCTTATTCTACAGTGTCACCAGGGCTCCTTTCAGTACCATGTTGTTGTTGTTGTGTGTCAAGTCGGTTCCAAATCATAGTGACCGTGTATAAGGTTTCTGAGGAGCTGACTCATAGGATTGAACCAGTATCATAGCAAGACACATACCAAAAGCTCAGTAACCATCAAGTCAATTCTAAGTCATTGCAATCCTACAGGACAGACTACAACTGCCCCACAGGGTCTCCTAGGCTGTAATCTTTACATAAGCAGACTGTCTCATCTTTTTCCCACTGAGTGGCTGCTGACTGTGAACTGCTAACCTGTTGGTTGTCAGCCCAATATCTAAGTGCACCACCATGGTTCCTTTAGCAACACACAAGCTTCCACTAATGGCTGCATCTGAGAGCCACTGGTCAGGAATGGAACCCGGCTCTCCCTCATGAAAGGCAATAATTTTACCACTGGCCCTACAAATATCACTGCTTTTGTTGATAGGTGTCATTGAGTTAGTTTCAACTCACAGCAACTCTGCATAAGGTCTCCAAGGAGTGGCTGGTGGGTTTGAACTGCTGACCTTGCAGCTAGCGGTGCAGAGCGTATCCTACAGCAACACATTATTAACCCTGATTAAATCATCTCTCAGGGAGTGGGTAGGTTCTAGGTGGTGTTCTTTCCTACCTATCCCTATCAGTGACGGTTAATATGGTTCCTTCAGTCAAGCTGCCAAGCACCTCTATACCTGCACCATTTCTGCACTTACACTTTTGCACGCTGATCCCGGTTTGGCCCATGATAGAGATAGATTCTTAGTTTGTTGTGGCTCACACGTTTTTCCACCTCATTTTTCCAATGATGGATCAGGGAAGCAGGACAGATAATTAGTGTTCCATGGGAAGTATAGGTAGTGGGCTCTTGAGAGAGAGAGAGAAAATCAACATCTAGTTACATTCATTCACTTTAGCTTCTTAAAGGCACTACCTCTTTCTCTTGACTGACTACATTCTTCCAAAACAATAATTCTAACCACTGTCGCTCATTTTTTACTTTCTCCCATAAAAGTGTCAGACAAAGACATCAGACTAATGAGGCAGCTGAAGTACCTGGCCTCAGTGTAAAAAGGCAATGCACTTTCGCAGAGTGGCCAGAAGGCAAAGGCTGGATCATTTGCTAACTTTTCCAGAGTTGATTCATCACTAATTTTTCCTGAGAAGCATAAATTAATGTGCATGTACACTAGAGTCTAAGTACAAAAACGTTTCAGAAGATAAACACAAACACGTTTGGAAATCTAGCCATCACTAGGACCACTGTGGCTCCATTAACACAGTTGAGAACTGATGGTGATACTTGTTTGTGCATACGTGCACAAACCCTGCTACTGTACGCAAGGACACGGGGTGGTCCAATGTACCAGGGTTCCTTAGAAGCCTCCAGAGTGGACAGCCACAGATGGCTTGGCTATCCAACCAACTGAGATTTCTATGTGGCAACTTATTTGTATGTGGCAACTTATATGTGGTGTGTCTATACAGAACAGCTGAGATCTTCATGAAATCTTCATAAGATACTGAACTACAGTAATTACATTTTAAAAACATGAGTTTGAGGCAAGGTAGGAATTGCCTATAATCCTCCTGATAATTTTCTTTCAGAGCTGACATTGAAAACAGCTTCCTCTAAGGTGGCTTAACCCTGAATTTATGATAGATCTTCCTTAAAAATGATACATTAATTTGGATTAATGTATTGTATCCTCAATATTGGAGTCCTGCTGTGGCACTGTGGATTAATGTGCTGGACTGCAAAGTTGGTTTGATCTGCAAAGGTCGGCAGTTCAAGCTCACCAGCCACTCCTCAGAAACCCTATACAGGGTCGCTATGGGTCGGAACTGACTTGTAGGCACTTCACAACAACAACCCAACTTCAGATCAAGCTAAGTTTTTATAAGAAAAGGAAAAACAATGATTAGTTATAATTAGCATCTTCAATCATATGACGGGAAAGTGGTCTAACACTAGTAGATTCATTAAACATGGCCAAAAGTATCCTCTAGTTTGAAAACTCCCCCTCCCAGCTGGCTTAAGTGACTTAGGAAATGAAGGCTGGCCAGGCACTTCTGTATACGTATACCATCTTTAGAAAGCCATGTAACGGAGTTTCTGTCCTTCTCTTTGTGCTTCTCTTCATTCTTCTGAGCCAGGATAAGTGCAATCATTGTTAGAGTTTTGCCTAAACCCATATCATCCGCTGTGGGGAAAAACAGAGAGAGTTCATTACTTAGGGCACGCACACACACAAAAATCAACTCAACGCCAAGAGACAAAAACCACCGGTAAAGACATTTATTTACCTTTTATTTTCTTTGCTGCCAGTGCCATTTCTGTCTAGTGCATATCCTACAATCCCACATCAGAACTCACAAGAAAGATTGTTCAAGTGAAAACAAAGTCTTTGCCTAAACCAATGAAACCTTCTTCCACATGTAAATGAACCCTAGTGATTGCTATCTATTTTAAGAGCTATGTCAAAGACATTTACTACAATCCTTATAAAACTGAAAACCTATTACTTGGATCTTACTCAGGTCTACACATTACACTGTTACCTATTTAATGCATTCATTTTCACCTAGCACAGTTTGTTGGTGTTACCTAGTTTTTTTTAATCTGTTATCCCTGAAAGCCAAAAGGACCAGTAAAGTATCTCCTACTACTTTATTGGGGCCAGGCTTCCTCTACGACAACCCAGGGTGCTGAGTCCTGGCTGGCAGCATTTCACATGTGCTGCTATAACTTGGTGGGGGGAAATTAAATGTGTCCTGTGTGACTCCACTGGGACAGGACTCTGGAAGCTCGCACCTGATTTCCCCAAACTTCCTTTCATGTGCCTTTTCCCTTTGTATCTTTCATTCTAATAAATCATGGCCATGCATATGACTACACGCCAGGAATCCTGCTAGTGAATCATCAAACCTGGGGACAGTCTTGGGGACTGCCAACATAGCCACTCTCTAACCACAGTGTATACTTGTCATGGTTTGGAAGTTATGCACCTTGGAAATTCTTATTTCGTTGGGAAACTTACTTTGCTAGTCTCCTCTGCAGCAAGAGTATTGGTGGCATGACCTGGCTCTACAGACCAGATGTACTCACACTTCAAATCAGGTATAAGCAAGTTCAGAAAGAGGTTCCGTGTGGAATCCTTTCTTCGGGTTGGGGTGGAGAGAGAAGTGTCAGACAGTGAGTGTGGCAGAGGGTTTTTCTAGTGCTAGGTGGAGCAGAGCAACAGTGACACTTTATACAGCATACTCTATGACTTGGCTTTGGTGATGGCTTCTAAAGAAGTGTGGTCTCTGGCCTGGCTCTGCACATCTGCCAGAGATTCTATTGGCCACCACAGAACAATTAGCCAGAGTCAGCCACTACTGCTTATAACCACCATCTCTGACTGCTCCTCTACCTATGAATTCTTAAGCAAGCTGCTTGACCTGTCTCCACCTCACTTTCTTTATCTCTAAAATGGGAATTAGAGCATCCATCCCATAGGGGGGTTGTGAGACTCAGGTAAGACAATATAGGTAAAGCATTTAGCATAATGGCTAAGCATTCTATAAATACTGGCTCTTATTATAATGCCTAAACTCATCCAGAAGGAGCTCTGGTAGCATAGTGGTTATGAATTGGGCTGCTAATCTCACAGTCAGCAGTTCAAAATTACCAGCTGTTCCACGGGAGAAAGAGAAGGCTTTCTGCTCCCGTAAAGATTTACAACCTCGGAAACCCTGTACAGGGTCGGTATGAGTCGGAACCGACTCCAAGGCACATAACAACAACAACAACAATAACAAACTTACCCAGAATTCCTCCTTGTGGCTTCTGACTTTCCCGCCATAGTAACCAGGCTAACGCCTGCTTCTGATGTAAAAGCAAAGGAACCTAACAAAGATAATGACCAAATGTTATGCAAAAGTTGCCTGATTTAGAGGTCATGCTGTATCCTAACTACATAGACTCTACACTCCACCCTATTACTTCCTATTATTCCAAGTGATCCTCAAAATTCTAGTTGTCATATAAACTGCTCAATTCTTTCTGAAATACTTAATCTACCTTCTCTTTCACCATGAGTAATCATATGTCCTGATTAGGTATGTAAGTATTGTCCAGCAGTACTCTTAAAACTGATCTTTCTCTCTCAAGCATCCTCATTTGTCTGCTTAAACAGTCAAACTTACTTCCTACTTCACACAACCCAAACTGCTGACTGGTCACCCTACTCTCACTAGACATTCAGTTGCCTTTTCCTCACTATCTCTTAAATTTGAATCTATTCTCTGTAGCCACACCCAGTCCCCTTTGCTAATCATAAATTGCAACTGGAGTCCTCCTTTCTAATACTTTCTCTTGTACTCTATAACAAAAACAGTCCATCCCTTGTCCAATTTTTACAGTCATTCCATAATCTTTTTTGAACTATTCAAATCTAAACTCCTTCACCAATGCCATGTTCCACTAGCAAGCGAGTCCATCATTCAGCAATACTGCCAGCTGCTCCCCAGCTCAGGAGCCGATGACACCTGATCACCACCAATCCCGATCTCTCTACCTCACCACCACTCCTAAGAATTGAAGTGCTTTGTTTGCATCTCCTCTGCGATCTTCAGGTTTGCAATTTCTTTAAGGCATAAATAAAGTAGGTAGGTAACTAACAGTGATCTTGACTGACCTTTATGTTTCTTTTTTTTGTTTAAATCCCTTTGGCACCTTATGTACAGTCTATAATACACATTGTACCTTTATTGCCTTAAAGTCATTTTTCTAACGATTTTATGTATATTGTGTATAAGCAATTTTGCCTCAACCAGATCAGCCTGTCCTTTGTATTCTTTTGCATCTACTAAAATTCAATATATAACCTTTTGCTGCTCTAAGTCTCAACTCTACGGTTTACCAGAAAACGAGCCAACACCGCAGCTGCTACAGGCCTCTGCTCACCTTCAACCCAGAAGGATCTTCTGCCTGCGCGGTCTCACCAGGACACGACTCCAGTGATCGATGCAACTCATCAATGGCTTTACTTGTGATTTTCCATACTGCATGGAGACGATCCTGGCTGGTATGGCCCGCATACAAATAGGTGTTCCCTAAAGGTGTCACACATATTAGGTCCTGGCTAGAGTTGCAAACAGGGCAATTATGTGTCATGTACAGAACCATCACTGACCCAAACTTCTTGCCTCTAGATTCACCCAGACTCAGGTTCCCCTCCTGTTTTCATTTTACGTCACATAAACAATCGTTGTAGTAAAGTACAATTTAATAGAAAGTATAATACAAAAGATAACCCCAAATATATAGTTTTTTCTCTGACTTAGAAGACGTGGCAGAGAAAAAAGTAACCCTACCAATATTTTAGGAAGATCCCTGGGACTGGATGCAAAGAGACTCAGTATCCAGAAGACCTAGCTAGAGGAAATCTGTAGAGATTAAGGTCAAGTTCTAAAGTACCGGTCAGGAGGCGACTGCACATCGCACTGAAAAATACTTCAATGCCTTTAGCCCATTCATTCACACAAGGAATTTCTAGAAAGATTAATTCATACATACAGGCAATTTTAGGGATGAAGTGTCCCACATAAAAGGTTTCCAAACAAACAGAAATTAACCAATTGTTTAAATGATATTCAAAAAAATCTGACATCTGATGGAATTCCTTCTGAAATATACTGATTTCTTATTTTAATATCCCAACATCATTTAATTTTCTCCCAGGTGTCTCAGTCATCAGTGATCATGAAGGCTGCTGTCATTCTTCCAAGGTGGCGTCTGAGCAGCCCGGGCTGTGATGCTATTCTCACAGGTATGTTTTCTATTCCCTTTCAGAGTGACCTTAGCTTCAACGGGCACTGTGTCTGTGTCTTACTCTGTCAAACACTGTCCTTCTACTTTCTTTCCTACCTTCCTTTTCCCAGTTTTCTTTCTTCTTCTCTTGTTCCTTCCCGTTGTTGTTAAGTGCCGTAGAGTCGGTTCCGACCCATAGCGACCCTGCACAGGGTTTCCGAGGCTGTAAATCTTTACGGGAACAGAACGCCTCATCTTTCTCCCGCGGAACTGCTGGTAGTTTCAAACTGCTGACCTTGCAGTTCACAGCCCGATTCGTAACCACTACACTACCATATTGTTCTGGTTCCGACCCTGGATAGAGTTTCCAAGGAGTGGCTGGTGGGTTTGAACCTAGCAGTTTTCAATTAAGAGCAAACTGGCTTTAGCTCTGATGGTCCCTGCCTGTCAACCCGAGCTCCTATCTTTTGATCTTTTCTGGTTGATCTTAAACTTTTTTTAAGACTCAGGATCATCACTCTGCAATCACTTCTGAATTCAAGGTTCCCTGGAAGGCTCTGGATGGAAACACTTAATTAAACAGATGTTCATTCATATCGTCTCAGTTCTACCACACACACACTCAGGAAGGAATAATACAATCTCCTACTCGATCTACCTAATTACATGAGGTTAAGTCTCTATTCACAAACATTCATTAGAAAGATACTATGAGCCAGGCACTAGGCTGGCTGATCAGGATGATCGTGATAAACAAGGCAGACAGTCCCTGCTTTCATAGAGATACAACACTGTGAAAGCACTTCTGAGCATCAGGACTTTATTATACGGACAGCTTACAACTAAAAAGTGGCTTCTCCTGTCACATGGGCGCAAGGCCATTGACTAGGCAGCATAAAACTAATAGTCAGCAAAACCATTCACACCAGTGCCAGGTCCTTGGGTCTTACCTCCACAGTGTGGACTGGGGGCTCCAGCTTCCAGCCCTAGGGAACTAGAACTAGAAGGTTGAAGAAACTGACCCACATGGGAAGGGGCAGCGGTAGTTTTGGTGCAGCTGCTCTTTTGTTGAGGTGCTTCAGTGTTACTCTTCTCATTCGTTCCTGCTGCAAAAACAAAGGCAGAACAAATTAGAGTCCAGAACAGTGAGTGAAGGAACTGTTCTGTGTGGAGGTGCGGTCAAGAGTGGCTGGGGTCACCAGCATTCCAATAAGCTTAGAAAGGCATCCTACAGAATGCAGAATTTTTATAGTTGCTTAAACCCTAGGACAGAGAGTTTAATCCATGGGGATTAGAAGAAAGAGTTTAGAAATCAAAAGGAGTGATTTAAAAGAAAGCTTAGACACTGATAATACAATGGAAAGGTGAATTAATCACACATCCTTTATCAAGCTGGCTCCCTGAATGTCTCTCAAAGTTCAACCCAAGCCCAAGTCCTGCGGCATAACCGCTTTACCTTGCTCTGGGGAGATGGTAAGAACACTGAGCGCTTCCTCCAACGCCTGGATTTGCCCCAACAACTTCTGACCCTTGTCTGGAAGAGCCTGGATGTTCACTGATGCCAGAGTGCTCTGAAAAACACATCTCATGCAATTGGTTTTTCTCCTCTGAAGCTGTTAGTGGGATAGTTTCAATTCAAACAGTTGTTTAACACCTGCTTGGGCAACGTCTAACCGTAGATAACCCTGTGATCCCATTATTTTTTGTTTTGTAAACAGAAAATAGCTCTTCTTCTGTTCATGATTTCTCCCTAATGGCTTTAAAGACCCCAAACCCAGGCCCATGGGATACTGGCAGGTGAGAGGCAAAGGACTCTGGGCATAAGCTTTTTGAGTTTGCCCAGCAGGTGGCAGCAATGAGGGCTGCAAGGGCCCGGGCTGCTTCTGCAGCTCAGGTGGAACAGTGACCAGGTCTGGTCACGCTCAGCTCCTTCTCTGCTGGTGTCCTCTTGCTACACTCCCAGCTGCCACTGCTGCTGCCAATGCCCAGAAGCCCGTTCCTCTGGCCTCTGCCAGCAGCTCCATCAAGAGCAGCAACAGTGGCAAGGAGGACAACCAGAAGTGGCCTCTCATAAGGTTTAATTACAGTGTTCGTACAACATCCAAATCACATAGCATCTTATTTCACAGGATATATTGTGGACATTAAGCAATGCATATCTGTATCCCAAAATGTTAAAACTCGGAAAATGTGCTCTTTCAATTATGTGTGTGAAATTTTTTTTTAAAAAAATCCAGCTGATTTCCCAATTCTTAAAATAAAAACATAAAGAAAAGGTGAGAACCAAACATTTACTTTTCCACATTAACATATTCCATCATTTGTGGGTCCTATATTTGGAGTCCTGGTGTGGCGCTGTGGGCTAATGCGTCAGACTGTAAAGTCATTTGAACTGCAAGGTTGGTGGTTCAAGCTCACCAGCTGCTCCTTGGAAACCCTATACAGGGTCGCTATGAGTCAGAATCGACTCGACAGCACTTAACAACAACAAATTTGGAGTCATCGCTTCTTGGAAACACCACACACAGTTGCTATGAGCAGAACTGACTCAACAGCACTTAACCAACAATAACAATATTTGCCACAACAAGTCAAGTTACCTTCTTTTGTTTCAGTTGTGTTGTAAGATACACTCGTTGGGCTGTGGGGTCTGAAGACTCTACCTTCGTAGAAAACCCTGAGGTAGGAGAGATTTTTCTTTGTTCGCTTTGATGAGGTAATTTAAGATTCCCCTTCTTCTGTGAATCCAAAGTCAAGTCACATGGGAGGTTCCCTGGCTTAGAAGAAACAAAAACAACATCATCTTCCTCACTGTCCTCACTGCTTGTGTCCGTTTTCCGTCCTTCTCTCAGGAAAAGGCCTGCCACCACTGATGCAGACTGGGCCGCGGGTTGAGGACGGGGCACATCAGGAATCTCCAGCTGCGCCTGGAAATCCCCGGGGCTCTTTGTGCTTGAGTCATCCTTAGCTTTTGTCTCTCTGGCCTCCCAGTTCTTGGGGTGCTCTCCTTTCTGGGGCTTGTTTATTGGTTTCTGACTCTGAACAGTTAAAGGCAAGAGTCTAGTTTCCTTTTCTCCTGGAGGTGCTGTTTCTTTTTGGACACTACTGTTCTGCTCATTTGATTCCTCCTGAAAAGATGTAGATGGTTTTCTCTGTTCATTACCAGGCCCTGATTTGGGTGTGATTTCAGAAAGATGTCTTTGATGTGTGCCTTCAGTCTCCTTCACGTCACACTGAAACTCTGTTTTCTCCCCATGCTGCTTCTCAGGAATTGCAGCTTCTTTTTTCTTTACCACCGTAGCAGATGAGAGATCTTTCTCCACCCAGCATGTAGGCTCAGACTTCTGTTCCTTCTTTTGATCCAAGAGCTGATCTGCCTTTTCCCTTTGTTTCTTATCAACTGTCTTTTCCTCGCCTTCACCTTTGGTGAGCTGTTTCCAGAGAGACGGTTCTTGATTCTTGTCAAGTACCTTGAATGGGTTTCTCTGCTGGCTGGAAAGATGATGAAATGGCTCGGAGGTATCCTGAGCCTTGCTGGCTACAGAATGTTCTTTGGAATTAGGATCCTAAAGGTTAAAGACAATAATTAGTCTTAACATATAATATTAATGCAATTTTTATATCTAGAAAGCCATTTTTAGGCGACACTGAAACATTTGCACTCAGTATTTCTGAACACTCCTGAGGTAATATCTGCCTCTAGGAAAGACTATGTTCCAATGTAATAGTTTCTTAACAATACTTATAGTACTTGGTTCCTTCTCTGTCAATGGTCCAGGCCTTAAGGAAACGTAGTGACCAAACAAACACAAAAAGATTTAAACAATCATTATGATGAAAAGTTTTTAGAGTTGTCATTAAAAATGTTGGATATACGTTCATTTATCCTAGTAATTCAGGATTTCTCATACTCGGCACTATTATTTTGGGCCAAATAATTCTTGGCTGGGGGGAGGGGTTTGCCCTGTCAGTTATAGGATACCTAGCAGTACTCCTGACTATACCCACTAGATGCCAATGGCATCTCCCCGTAAGTTGTGACAGTCAAGAATATCTCTGCTGTTGTTGTTACGTATCGTCAAGTCAGTTCCAACTCACAGGAACCCTATATAGAGTTCCGAAATGTGACTGGTAAGTTTGAACTGCTGACTCTGCGATTCAAACCAACCTTATGTCCCCCCACCCACCTAAACCTCCCCTTAATATCTTCCCTAACAACAACAACAAAAAAAAATTCTCTAGACACTACTACATGTTCTCTGGAGGGCAAAATTGCCACCAGTTGAGAACCACTGCCTTCCATGAACTAACCAAAATTTTTTACCTTCAATAACATTATTCTGTTTTTTTTTCCATAAAAAAATTTTTATTATGAATTTGGTTGAGATTGCATGAAATTTACGAATTAATTTGAAGAGAATGGGCATCTTTACAATGCTGGGTCTTTCAACCCAAGAACATTGTGTTTACATCCACTCAATAGCATTACTTTTATGATCACACTACTCACAACGTAAACTTTTCAGAAATAATTATTCTTCCAAGGTGTACCACACCTGAACATCCTAGTGTGTTTACTACAATTGTGCCTTTAGGAAAGTTTCACTGTGGGAACCCAGAATCAGAAGTTCAAGCCAGACCTCTGCCACAAGAAGTCTGGTCACCTTCGTGAGTCTGAGTCCTAATCTGAGATGAGAGCCTTGTTCTGGGCATCTGCAGGACCTCTCCTTGTTCTAACACTCTAGAAGCTAATGACTTACAATTTAGCTTATAACAATATCAAGTAGCTATCGGTCTATCAAAAAGTGCTAAGTTAAGTCAAAATGTTGCCTCAATGATATACTGACTATATTTTAAGACCTTGAAAAATACTTTTGAAAGTAAGTAAAACTGGTGGCAAGTGATTAAATCATTAATATAACCAAATAGTATGTGGAATTAAAAGTCCTAATCAGGCCCCACCTTGCATAAAGAAAAGAGCTTGTCATTCAGAGGCAATTGGATAATGCCAACCAGTTTATACTGGGATTTCAAGGTCACCATTTCTGGTTATGTCACAGGTTACATAGTATTAACACAGCAGGTTTGGAAATAGATGAATGATTCATACCTGCCATGGAATACTTCCACACCAGGACTTCCTCTCTGTCTTACTTCCAACGCAACGGTAGAACAATCTAATGGAGTATGAGACAAGTTATCAAGGCTATGGAGATCCAGTAAAACATGAGCTAAATTTGTTTTTAATTTAATCTAAGAAACACCTTGCAACTATTTGACACTGGCTTTGAAAGGTCACTTGAAACCTAACAGGCTTATAAGAACATTAAGAAATTCTTTGCTGCACCACACATTTATAAAGGTTAGGAAGTAAAAGGGAGCCCCTGGGTGGTGCAAATGGTTAGTGGGCTTAGCTGTTAAATGAAAGGTTCCTAGAGGCATCTCAGAAGAAAGAGCTGGCAAACTACATGTGAAAAATCAGTCACTGAGAGGTATGAAGTACAGTTACATGCTGATAAAAAGGGTCGCCACGAGTCACCATTGACTGCTTACGAATTGAAAGAGTAGTCAGTATGGTGACCAGAATGTAAGCACAGACTTACTCCTTGTCTTCTGCAAAGCATGATTGAGATAGAGACACTGATTTCTAATGGCTGCTGAATCAGAAAAGAGAGCTAACCCAACATTATGGATCCCTGATGGGAGATACTGCCCATGAAGTGATGATGCAAAGCACACCAAAAAAAAACAGTAAAAACATCAATAACACAGAAATGACCCCAAATCTGACTGAAACTCTAGATCCAATGACCAATTAACAAGAAATACAGACAAGAGAAACATGTAAAACCAGACTATGGAGTATCAATCAGAAAAATTTTGACAGTGGGGAAAGATATAGGGCAAAATCTGGTTTCATCAACAAATAAATGATAAGAGAGAAAAAAAAAATGACAGAGGGGAAGATTAAGAGACTTAAAAGAGCTCCTTTGTAACATTGACAAAGCAGGGGAGACGCCAGGTCAGGGAGCCGAAGGCTAGGGAGGCTGGCCTGCAGGCTCAGCTCAGAAACTGTGCTTACTGGAAAAACTGTGCCCCGAGCATTTCTGACCCTGCACTGTAACCTGTTACCTTCCCTAGTGAACCCCGTAACTGTCAGCGTGGTGTCTGAATTCTGTGTAATCACTGCAATGAACTTATACACCCAGCCAAGTAGAGAGTGCTGTGGGAGGGATGGTTAGGGCCATTTTTATACCCATAATAAGGAGTTCATAAATATCTGCAATCATGAGCTCCATTTTGCCAACCATCTTGATTCTTCATACATCCACACTCCTGCGTTTGTTGTTTTGCCCAGAACACTTTCTTGTCCTTTTCTCTATTCAAATTTTAAAAGCCATTTGTGGCCAAGTTCAAGTTTCAGATCCTCCATTTTCTCCGTTAAGTCCGATGAATTTTAAAAGAGCCATGGTAGCGTAGTGGATTATGTGATAGAACTGCTAACTGTAAGGTCAGTAGTTCAAATCAACTAGTCGCTCTGCGGGAGAAAGATGAGACTTTCAGCTCCCGTAAAGATTTACAGCCTCAGAAATCCTATGAGTCCCTATGAGTCAGAACTGACGCAGTGGCACACAACTACTACCACAACCACCATAGGCCTTACAAGTCACAGACCCTTCTGGCATTTGAACACACTGAATATCGTACTCTTAATATATGCAGACTGAACTGCTCACCAATCTTAGTGCATCTAACGCATATCCCAGTTGTGTTGCTGAGTCCTGAGGAGTAAGAGTTCAGGTTTTCATATTCGTCAGCACAGGAAAACACAGCAAGATTTCTACCTCATTCTTTTACAACTTAAAGGGTAAATGGAACAAAGATTTAAATGTAAAAACCAAAACTGTAAATGTTTCAGGGAGAAAAAACCCCACCTAAACACGAATGTTTCTGTAAATTCTAAAAGTGAAGGCTTTTCTAAGCATAGAACACTGAAGCCAAAGAAATAAAGGATGTTATAATTTTGACAATATAAGGGCTTTAGAATTCCATATGGTAAAAACACCATAAGTAAAACAAAAGGCAAACTGGGAAAAAGTAATTGCCACACAATATTACAGAAGGTTTATATAGTAGGTAGTGGCCGCTGTAGGTTAATGCACTGGAATGCAAAGTCAGTTTGAACCTCAAGGTCAGTGGTTCAAGCTCACCAGCCACTCCTCAGCAACCTAATATGGGTCAGAACCGACTCGATGGCACTCAACAACAACAAAGTTGGGGTCCTGGTGTCACGCTGTAGGATAAGCACTGGGCTGAGAGCCACAAGGTCGGCAGGCAGTTCAAACTCACCAGCTGCTCCTCAGAAACCCTCATACAGGCAGTAAAGCTATTCTAAGTGTATGAGTAGGAATCGATTAGATGGCACTTAACAACATATATACATACACACGGAGTCCTGGTGTGGTGCTTTAGGACAAAGCACTGGACCACAAGGTCAGTTTAAACTGTAAAGTTGGCAGTTGAAACTCATCAGCTGCTCCTTGGAAACCGTATGCAGGGCCGCTATGAGTCTGAACTGACTGGATGACACTTAACAACAACATACATACACACAGGAATGATCTCTATACAGCACAATGCATGCTGCTCTACAGCATCTAAGCAGTTACTGGCTTTATTAAATAGTAGGGACAGAGGACGTTCTGCCTGGGTCTGGCTCATGCTCAAATGCTCTTTAATACCAGTATGCCTATTATACTATGGAGTTCTGGTAGCGTACTGGTTACAAGTCAGGTTGCTAACCTCAAAGTCAGCAATTCGAAACTACAAGCTATCCCACTGGAGAAAGATGTGGCAGATTTACAGCCTTGGAAACCCTATTCAGGGTTGTTAAGAGTCAGAACCGACTCCATGGCACATAACCTACTATACTGGGACTAGGTTTGTACATCAATATTAACCCGATAAGCCACTACAAAATTTGTTCACTAAATGAGTGAAGATTCAAGTGTTATGAAAAACAAAATATTATAAACACCATTATTTCCTATTACTTTGACCCCATGTTCTCAAGAAAAACTCAGAAAGAAAAGTTGAGACACAAAGAAAGAATGAATATGAGCTCAGAAGCTAGATGTCCATGATGTGAGGTGTGCTACATCATTTAGGTCAAGACAAGATCCCTTTGCTCTGTTTCTACTGACTCTCCTGCTTTTCTTTATTGCCTGAACACTGATGGTAAATGCAGGTGACTGGTACCACCTGGTGTTAAAGTTACAGAACTGCACACAGATACAGATACAGCTACACTCCATTGTATGAAAAATGGGCCATTTAGCCTTGGTTTACACCTCCTGTCTATAACTCTGCTGCAACAGTCTCCTCATGACATTAAGTTTTACATACAATTATATCCATTAGAGAATGTAAATTACCTTGTTATTGAAATGAAAACCCAGTGGACAGGAAGGAAGTCATTCTCCAGAGCACAGGGACTTCAGTTAAATGACTTTGCTGTCTAGTAAGAAACCTATCGTCCTTGAGTTTATTTGTTTTTATATTTGTTCTGTACCATCCACCAGGGCAATTTGTTTTTAATTTACTGTATATTACAGAACTGTATTTTATTTGTCCCTTAAAAAAACCAAACCTTTTAAGCTTCAGCAAGTATCTTTTAATTATAGTGTTCTAGATTTGAGCTAAAAGAAATATAATTAGCAGTTTCACTCCCTTATTCTAAGACAATGTTCGCCTTTCAGCCTTATTTACCTAATTTGAAGAATGCTAATGGAAAGATCTCAAAATTCTGTCTTCGGCCCAGACCTTTCTTCAGAGTTATACATTCATTTTCCTAGCTAGTTTCACGTACACTAGTACATGCTATTGTTATTAAGTGCCGTTGAATCGGTTCCGACTCATAGCGACCCTGTATAGGGTTTCCGAAGAGCAGCTGGTGAGCTTGAACCACCGACCTTGTGATTAATCCACAGCTGATATATTAGCCACTCCACACAGTTCTCTACTGTCACTACCTTGCCTTCCTTCTCTGAAACTCATCACCTATAACCCAATCTTGTTGCTGTTAATAAGTGCCATCGAGTCTGTTCCAACTCATAGCAACCCTGTATAGGACTTCCAAGGAGTGGCTGGTGGGTTTGAACTGCCAATCTTAAGTCTAGAAGTCCAGTGTTTATCCTACAGCGCCACACACAAATCACAACTTAACAACCATTTATTGAATAACTGACAAGGTGCCAAGCACCAAAGTGAACTAACTACACGTTAGCTCACTGTATTTTCACTACCCAGGGTGGCTGGAGTTCCCGTGATCATTATTCCAGGTAAGAAAACGGAGACAGAAACATGCTTGACTAAATTCTCTGCCTGTACAGAAGTGTTATTAATTCTTTCTGAGATTTTTCTATAGTCTAGTTGCATAAGGAATAAGGACGACCATAGAAGAATTTATGCTTTTGAGTTACGGTGTTGGAGGAGAATATTGAAAGTGCCATGGGCTGCCAAACGAACCAACAGATCTGTGTTGGAAGAAGTACAGACATAGTGCTCCTTAGAGGTCAGGATGGCCTCATACTTTGGACATATTGTTACGAAGGACCAGTCGCTGGAGAAGGATATATGGAGGAGCAGAGAAAAAGAGGAAGACCCCCAGCGAGATGGATTGGCAAAGTGGCAGCGTCATTGGGCTCAAGCGTGACAACAATTGTGAGGTTGGTTCAGGACGGGGCAGTGTTTCATTCTGTTGTGCATAAGTTTGCTATGATGCTACCTAACAACAACTACTACATCCAGTCCCGGCCACTGCCTATCTCAAGCCCGTCATCTTTCATTTAAAGTATGTGTGTCTGGCAGCAGTCAGAGTCAGATTTGAATCCCAGCCATGCCATTTAAATAACCAAGGGACCTCAAATTCTTTTTCTAACATCTCTTAATCTTAGCTTCCTCACCTGTAAAGAAAGGGCACTGAAACCTACTGCAAACAATTCTATGAAGGTAGGGGATGATGAACATGCCATGTTGATGGTTGGCTGGTTGGTGGTTGGTTGGTTTTGTCCATGAAGTCAGTTCTAGCTCATGGCAACCCTCAATTCTGACTCACAGATAGCAACTTTACATAGTTTACAAGACAGTACTTTTTACAGGGGCATAAAGCCTCATC